ATTCAAGTTTGGTTCGGGTCGACCCTAAATTCGACCTGAATGACTCAAAACACTAGTTCTCTAATAGAACCTTATTTTGAATATCAATGTTCTTAAAAAACCTGAATGACTATGAGAACGCTGCATTTTAAAAACTGGTTACAATACTAGGAGGATACTATTAACATTTTTACCAGTAATTTATATTTAATCATGTGGTCTTATATTTGATTATAATAATACCTGGATACAGTACTTTGAATTATTTATCGATTACTGTAATAACAATTCTTTAAACGAATTCAGAAAAATTGGTTCCCATGTTTATACCGGTATACAAAATATTATACGTACTACATACATGAAAATCACCATAACTTTTGGCACGGCATTGTATTTTAATATTTGTAATAATTTCGTCATTAGGTATTATATAATAATGATATCATTTTTATACATAAAAAGATAGACATTAATCTTTCATATGATATGTTATTCGTTTGTATTTAAATAAGTATAGACTGAAATAATTGATAAAAGAAAACAAAAAAAGAATTCTTTTTCCTTACGAATCTCTAAACAAATCATAATCCTATTTTACAATCATGACTTTAAAAGCAATTGCTGTGCTTCGTGGTGACAAGCCAGAAATCAAAACTTGTGGTGTCATTACGTTCACTCAAGACAATGAAAACGCGCCTACCCAAATTGATGTAGATATTAGTAATTTAGAACCAGGACAACATGGATTCCATGTTCAGTGTGTATAATAACTTAATAAAATTTTTGAATTAAATTATTAAATTTTGGTTTATTTTTATTAAATCTGTTACAATTTCTTACATAAATACGTAGTGAATTTGGTGACAATACTAACGGTTGTACTTCTGCCGGTTCACATTATAATCCATTTAACAAAACGCATGGTGGTCCAACCGATGAAAATCGTCACGTTGGAGACTTGGGTAACGTCACGGCCTCTGAAGATGGTACCGTGAAAACTCAAATTAAAGACAACCATATTACTTTGAAGGGACCAAACTCTGTTGTTGGGTATATACTAAATTTATACACGTATTGTAATTTTATTCCTTAGTAGATAGAAAGAAATAAGGTTCTATTAGAGAACTAGTGTTTTGAGTCATTCAGGTCGAATTTAGGGTCGACCCGAACCAAACTTGAAT